TGGCTGCTGGACCAGGAGTGTCTGGGAGCGGCCGAGGGCCATGGGGGGGTGCAGTCAGTGGACACAAAGGCCCCCAACACCCCACAGCAAACCTGCTTCCTGGGCCGGAGCCCCGCCCACCACCTGCCCAGGACCAGGCCTCACCTCAGTGGGTGCTGAGCCCCTGCCGCGTGGGGGACCCTCCGCGTGGCAGCAGGCAGGCCTCCCGTGGGTGTCCTGTGGTCGGCAGTCATCTGTTTGGTTGGGATCCCAGAGATGCAGACCGGGGGGGCGGGGCTTTGGACAGGTGTGAGGGGAGGGTCCTTCAATGGCCCCAGATGGCCCCGCCCGGGTCCGTCAAAGGAAGATGCTGCCTCGTGGGGTGCCGAGGGGAGCACCTGGCGGTCCCCCTGAGTCGGGGTCTGGCCTTGCAGGGAGGGTGGGTACTGTCCTGCCTACACCCCCTCCCTGCTCCTCGGCCACCTCCAGCCTCAGGCCCCATGTACCCACGAGCTCTGACCCGGCGTCACGGCCCTTGTCCGTCGCCCGGCGTGGGCTGTCTCAGCGTTCCCAGGCCTGACCTTTGAGGCTTCTCACGAGCCCGCCCCCCTTCCCCCCGCCCCCCGCCTCCCAGAGTGCGGAGCTGGAGCCGAGAGCGCAGGGCAGACAGGCTCCGTGGCGGAGGACACGGCTCGGTGGGGTCACTGCCCTGGGTCGGCTGTGGGACACAGCCATGGTCCTCGGGGCAGTCGGCGAGGGGCAGGTGCAGGCTGTGTCTGGGGCCGTCCCTTGCAGCCCTGTCTCTGCCCTCAGTGCCCGCCTGGCCCTGAGCTCCCTCTGCCCTTCCTGCAGGCAAACCTCTTCCCTGCTGCCCTGGTGCACTTCGGGGCTGAGGAGCCAACAGGTGAGTGGGTCCCAGAGCAGGGCCTGCTTTTGGGCCTGGAAGGAAGACCTGTGGCCTGATCCCCCCCCAACCCAGGGCAGCCCCACCCAGGCCATGGCCCCCCTCCCCGTGGCCTGAGGGTGCTGCCGCCTGCAGGTCTCTATCTGGAGCCCAAGCTGCTGGAACACACGGTCTCCCCATCTGCAGCCGACGTGCTGGCGACCAGGTGAGAGCCCAAGGCGCTGGCAGAGCCAGGGTGGGAGGGCCGCGCTGCCGCGCTCGCTACCTGTGCCTTCTGCCGCAGGTGCATGGCCAGGACCTCCGCGACCCCGTCCCCGCTGCCAGCCCCTGACCCTGTGCCCCTCGAGTCAGAGGCAGCTGCCGAGGAGGGCGCAGTGGGGCCCCCTGAGCCCAGCCCCGGGACAGCCCAGCCCTTGAGGAGGGACCTGGGCAAGGTGCCCAAATGGCTAAAGCTGCCAGGTACTGGGAGGGCGGCTGGGCCGGGCCGGGAGGGCTGCTGGGCGGGAGCCGGGCCCCAGGTCACGTGTGTTGCATTGCAGCCAGCAAGAGGTGAGAGCCGCCAGCCGGAGGTGCCCACTTGGCCGGGGACGGGACCCTCCTCCACCCTGAGTGCGAATAAAGACTGAGCACCTCCCGAGACCCTCCTGTTCCTTCTCCAGAGAGGGCCCCGAGTCCTCGCCCGGCCGCCTCCTGATGCTGCCCGCCTGTCCAGGCTCCCGGGCACTGGCCTCCAGCTCCGGGGCTGGCCAGTCCGCAGCCTGGCTGGACCTCGGTGTGTGGTCCCCTTGCTGGGCCTGTTCTCATTACGCAGCTGCTCCTAGCGGCTTTGCCTCATGGCCATCATCCATCCCCTCCTCCAGGCCTGGCCTGTCCGCACAGGCCGGCACCTCGCCCCTGGCACCCTAGGGTGGGTTGGCAGCCTGATCTGGAGCTCCCCGCCCGCCTCCCCACCAGGGCACCTCATAGTGGCTGGGCCTCGGGCACTGGCCCTTCAATTGTAATCGCTTCCACGTGCGCCCAGCACTTTGAAGCCCAGAGACTCCCGAGGTGGCAGGGAGAGGACAGCGGGGGGCAGAGGCTGGGAGGGGTGCAGGAGGGGACCAGCAGGGCCCAATGAGGGATGGAGGGCTTGTCGCCAGCCCACGCCCTCCTGGGGGGGGGGAGGGGGTGCGGGGGGCAGGAGCAGGCAGGTCGGAGCCGGGCTGCCTCGAAGGTCCTGGTGGAGGTGGGTGGCTCTGCCCCAGCCCATAGTCACTCGACCTACAGCCCTTCAGGTGTTTGCTGCCCTGGGCACTGTTGAAGCAGCGCTCAGCTCAGAATTCAGGCTGGTGGGGGATGAGGTTGAGGGTGTCTGGGCCCCATGCCTTGGAGCTGGGCCCTAAAGGCCCATGAGCATCCCAAGCAGCCAGACCTCTCAGCCCTGCTTCTAGCGATTGCACACAGCAGTCTCTGGGGTAGGCATGGCCTGAGGCTGACCTGCTGGTCCCTGGCACTGCCCAGGCAGCTGGTCTTCAGGTCCCTCCCCCCACCCCCCAGCATCTCCACCAGCAGGCCCTGCCCACACCCACATTCCCTGTCGGGGCAGCCCGGAGGCAGGAGTGTCTGCAGGGGAAGGAGTGGCAGGGGCGAGCCCGTCGCTGGCCAGGAGTGTGCGTCCTGCCAGGATGGAGGGTCGGCTTTGCGGCTGCTTGACTTGGGTGATGAATGGCAGCGGGAGGCTTTGCCTGGGAGAACAGCCTTGATTTATTGCTGCTGCTGTGAGAACAAGTTTACGGCTCAGGGAGGCGTCTGGGAGCAGTGCACCGGCTCTGATGTCATGCAGGACTGCACGCCCCGCTTCTGCCGCCACAGCCTGGTCCCCACAGCGGCCCCTCAGCTGCGTCCAGGCCGTCGGCAGGGCAGACGGAGCACCTGGGGGACAACAGTGCATGGCCTGGGCCCCGCCCAGTGCTGGGCCCTTCCTGTCTGAAGCCAGAGGCCACAGAAGACATGGGCGCTGGGCTGGTTGGAGCCGGACAGGTGGCCTCAGTGCGGGCGGGAGCCCCTAGAAGTCCAGAAGCTGTGGGGGGAGAGCGCTCAGCCTGCTGGGCGTCAGCCCACCCCCAGCCCTTGGCTCGCCCTCCCCTCGGGCGGGAAGCAGGCAGAAGCCCCGGGCCCACCTACCAGCTGCGGCAGCACCTTCTCCAGCTGTTCCACATCCACACAGGGCAGGTCCTCCGCCTGGGCCTGCCTGATGCTGCGGACGGTCGCCTCTGCCGGGACAGGAGGGAAGTGAGGCGAGGAGGCTGGAGCCTTGACCCCACCCCCTGGGCCTCCTGCGGGGCCAGCAGCTCAGGAGGCCTCAAGGCCACGTGTGGGCAAAGGGGAGACATGTCGTGCAGGCGGGACCAGGAGAACAGGCTCACCCACGACGAAGACCTTGAGCAGCTCCGCTACGAGCAGCAGCGCGTCCCCGCTGACTGCAAGGTGGAGGGAGCAGGTCACCAGAGCGCCCTCTCCCACCGCCCTGGCCAGGGGATGCTGCCCCGCACACCCCCACTTCCTCCCAGGCCCCTCAGAGCCAGCCGCAGCCCCCACTGCCCTTCCCGCCCCAGGCTGGTGCCCCCACCTTTGGTCTTGTCGTCCTTGAAGTGCAGGTGCAGCAGCTTGCTCACCAGTTCCTGGGGGACCAACAGGACAGTGACTCTGGCCCCCCCAACCCGAGACCACAGGCCCCGCGGGCAGTTAGTTGTGGATGGGAAGGTGTGATTTCTGTCCCCGGCCTCTCCCAGGGTGGGGACTGGGTGGTGGGCAGGTGGGAGCAGCCCCTCTGGGGCGCGTTTCCAGGAATCCTGGGCAGCCTCGTGCTCCCCCCACCCCCACCCGGCCCGAGAACGTGCTCCCTGTGGGCCCCTTCACAGGTCTGCCCACCGGCGGCGGGGCCCAAGCTCAAGGGTAGGAAGCCAGCACCGGGCAGCAGTGAGCGGAGCCTGGTGCCCCCTGCTGGTCCCTGCTGCCACCAGGGCGGGCCCAGACCCCCAGGAAGAGCCGATCCGCCCCCTGTGGACGGGCTGCGCGTGGAGTTTCCCCAACAAGAAAAGGGCAGGAACTGGAGGACAGGTGGACCTGGGGTGATGCGCTCACCTCCGCCCGGTCAGGCGGGCACCACAGCCCTCCTCCCTCCCTCCCTGGGAAGAGCCTGCTCGGGGCACTGACCGCAGCCCCAGCTCCGCTCGGAGCCCTTGGGGAGGCC